GCTAGCCAGTTTTCGGACTGGTCATTCAAAAATAGCCAGTGTTTGTCAAGTCATTAAAAAATAACCACTATTTTGCTGCAACAGAGACCGGTCCAGCATAATATACTGGAGTTCGGTGCACCTGTGTATGAACTTCCAGCATATTATGCTGGAACTCCAACACACGGAAAGTTCCAGCATAATATACTGGAGATTCGAGCACTTGTGTATGAACTTCCAGCATATAATACTGGAGCGGTATACTTTGCTGGAACTCCAGTATACTTATGCTGGAACTTTAGTATATTATACTGGAGTATTTTCTGGATTTTGAACAGTATTTTCGTTCAGATTTATTTTTACATGAAAAGTGACTAAATTTCGGTTACTTTTGAAAGTGTGGCTATTTTTGAATGAACTATTTTTTAATTTCTCCCCTTTTCTGGCTTGTGGCTACAAGCCCAAACTTGTAAAAACTACCGAAAGCAGAAACCGTAATTAAAATGCTCCTTTTGCAGCTTCTTCAAAATTTGTGACAAGCTATTGAAGTATAGAGTAGAATAAAAATATGAGATAAATGAGCTAGCAGAAATTTCATTTACATGTTATGGTACCATACGTTTTATGCAAAGGAGAAGAGCTCAAACCATCTCTGAGTTTAATACAATATCGTAAAGAATATCCAAATGTTACATGAACAAGTAATAATTTTCTTATTTTGAAGAGAAAGGACCATGCATAGCCCGCACCCACCCTCCTTTACAATGATCAATCCTTGAGAGTCACAACACAATATGTTCTACTATTAAAAAAACGGGGTGTCAATTCAACTTTCCATATACACCCTGAGCTGAGGTTAGTTTTGCTTTAACAATAGATATATAGTAGAGGTGCATGCCAAGCACAAATTAAGAAGAGAATGGAAATTAGCAAAGCTGTTACCGGTGGGGTGTACAAATGAAACCGACAAACAGCACCAACACGATAATTCGAGTCAAACCGGAAAAAAAAAACCGACTATGGTTTAGTATTGGAAAAAAAAAAACCATATTTGGTTTGGTTTTAACTAAAAAAAGGTCAAACCGAAACCAAACCAACCCGACATTATATGTATAGAAGTTTTAAATATATTTAATATATAAAAATATTTATGGTGGTGTAATTTATAAATATTTCTTAACCTTTTTCGTAGTTTTATCTTTTAACGTATTATTTCAAGCTTGTGCTTATAATTTTTGGATGCTCCAATAATTCTTTTAGTTCATAAATGTTAGTAACTCAAATAAATCCTAAACCAAAATCAAATCAATACTAATGCTAATAAAAGACATTCAATTCAATTGTATTGTGAATGAAAATAGTGTTGGATATCTATTTTTTAGTTTTTCCATGGTTTAGATAAAATGTATAACTTATTTTTCTTTTAGTGGTTAGTCATGTAAATAATAGTACTTATTATCATAATTTTAAATTATGTTTGTTTTCATTATGCCTTATTAATAATATTTATTTTATGCGATTTTATTATCTTTATTGTTGAATATTTTAGTACAATGCCATGACTCATCTCATATTTATGTTATTTTATGAAAAAACACCTTATATAGTTCTCTCTTACTAGGATTAAAGAAATATTTGGAGCATAAATTTTACGTTTTGTGCTATGAAGACTTTATGAAGAAAAAAAAACAAAAAAACCCGAAAACCCGAGAAAAATCGAGATTAAAAAATCCGACTTTTATTGGTTTGGTTTGGTATTTAGATTTAATAACCCGATAGAATTGGTTTGGTTTGGAAATTAGAAAATCCAAACCAACCCGACTCATGTACACCCTGTTGAATAAAACAAAGATACAAGGAAATAATTTTAGGATAAAAGGAAGACTTCTCTGTATTGAGCAAAAGAACAAAACTTCTATTTTATTAAAGAATAAGAACACTCAATAAACTAGAGAAAAGCTGAAAAAAAAGATACATTGAAAGAGACCGGACTGGTGCCTTTTATAGGCATACACTGTAAAAACTTTTCCACATCCTGCTACAGAAGTCCACAATAGTCACAAAAAAATAAGAAAAACACTAAAGACTCGGTAAAACAAAACTACCAACATCTATCCTACTAAACTAGTAAGTCAAAGTAAATACTAATGGGTAAAAGCTAGTGTTGTTATTTTAACACTCCCCCTCAACATCAGCTTCCATTTTTCTTTTTATCATTCCTAGTTGCAAACGAAACCTTCCAAACTTGTTGATACTTAAGCCTTTAGTGAATAGATCTGCAACTTGATTCTCTATATCAATGTACTTCAAACTGATTTCCTCTTGCAAGACTTTTTCTCTGATAAAGTGATAGTGCACCTCTACATGTTTAGTCCTAGCATGGAAAATTGGATTCTCTGCAAGACGTATTGCTGACTAGTTGTCACAATACAATTGAATTGCATAATCTATTGGTTGATTCAAGTCAGTCAACAACTGCATAAGCCAAGTGCTCTCTTGAGCTGCCATTGCCGCGGCCCGGTACTCTGCTTCTGTTGTTGATAAAGACACAGTTGGCTGCCTTTTGCTACACCAAGAAATTGCTCCTGATGCAAGAATAAACACATATCCAGTAGTTGAGCGTCGAGTATCATGATCTCCTGCATAGTCAGTGTCGCAATAACCAACTAGATTGCAATCTTCACCTTTCTTATACAGAATACCATAGCCAAGTGTATTCTTCACATATCTCAAAATTCGACGAACTGCTTCAAGATGAGACTTCTTTGGATTTTGCATGTATCGACTCATCACACCAACTGCATAAGAGATGTCAGGACGAGTTAAGGTTAGATAGATTAGACTACCTATTAGTTGTCGATACATTATTGTATCTTCCAAATCTTTGCCTTCATGTGCACACATCTTGACATTTGGTTCTATCGACGTCAAAATTGGCTTACATTCAAGCATGCCAAATTTATTCAACAAGTCTCTGGAATATTTCTGCTGATGGAGAAGTATTCCTTCTTGATTTCGATCAACCTCTAGACCAAGAAAATGCTTGAGCTGCCAAAGTTCTTTCATCTGAAAACGAACTGAAAGATTCTCCTTTGTTCTTAGGATTTCTTCTTGAAAATCTCCTGTTATGATTAGATCATCCACATAAACTAGCACTATAGCTAGTTTTCCTCCATTAGCCTTGATAAACAAACTAGAGTCTGCAGGTGTTACCAAATAACCACTGTGAGTCAAAAACTCAGCAATCTTACCGTACCAGGCCCGTGGAGCTTGTTTTAATCCATACAACGCCTTCCGCAATTTGCAAACATAGTCAGTATAATCTTCATTATGGAAACCCATATGTTGAACCATGTAGATCTCTCGATCTAGCTCTCCATGTAAAAAAGCATTTTTAACGTCCATCTGCCATAAGTTCCAGTCTTTGTTAGCTGCAAGTGCAAGTAAGACTCGGACAGTTGTAAGCTTTGCTACTGGACTAAACGTTTCATCATAGTCTAGTCCATATTGTTGAGAAAATCCTCGAGCTACCAGACGAGGCTTGTGTCTCTCTATGGATCCATCTGCTCGGCGCTTTATCTTATAAACCCATTTGCAAGAAATGGGTTTCACATCTCTTGGCTTTGGCACGAGCTCCCAAGTCTGGTTTCGTTCTAATGCAATAATTTCCTCTTCCATAGCTTTAGTCCACTTCAGATTTTGAAATGCTTCTTCAAATGTCTCAGGTTCTTTTGCATCTGCTTCTTCTATTATGACAACATTTGCATATTTGAGATTTGGCTTTTTGGTCCTTGTTGATCTTCTGAGTTGAGTTGGTGCAACTGCTTCACTGGACTCGCCTTCATCACTTGGTCGTTGGTGCACACCAGCTCGCCAAGGACTTTGAGAAATACATTCTTCATCACCATCAACATTTTCATCTTTATTGCCACCAGCATTTTCGTCTTCTGCTTCATAGGAATTTAATTGAATTTCAGCAGATTTCAGCTTATCTTTAAAATCATCAGAATCTGGTAATATCTTCCTTTTTGAGGACCACAGGGAAGATGCTTCATCGAACACCACATTTCGGCTCGTGTAACACTTTTGTGTTGTAGGGTCACAACACTTCCACCCTTTCCTTTGTCCATTATATCCCACAAATATGCACCTAATAGCTTTTTTTATCAATCTTGCTACGTAAAAGATCAGGAACAAATACATAACAAATACATCCGAAAACTCAAAAATAGCTAACAGAAGGTTTCGTATTCCACAACTTCTCAAAAGGTGAAAGAAAGCATAACCTTTGTTGAGGAAGTCTGTTAATCACAAAGGATACTGTCTTCATTGCTTCTGCCCAAAATTGTCATGGGACATTTTTTGCGTGAAGCATACTCCGGCAGATTTCTGCTAGATGCATGTTCTTCCTTTTCGCTACACAATTTTGTTGCAGCGTGTTTGCATACGTAAATTGATGACGTATTCGATATCCCTAAAGGAAGTCAGAAAATTTATTTGAGGTATATTCCCTACCATTGTCAATCCGCAGGCAAAGAATTTTCTTATTAATTTCTGCTTCAGCATCCTTTTTGAACTCTTTGAATTTTGAAAATGTATCAGATTTTTCCTTTAAGAAGTAAATCCGCACATACTTGGAAAAATCATCAATAAAAGTGACCATATATTTTATCCCACCAACAGATGCTTGCTTGACAGGTCCGAACACATCAGAGTGAACTAATTCTAATGGTTCTTTTGCTTTATATTTTGACTCCTCATACGGCAACTGATGCGCTTTACTATACTGACAGCCTGCACATATTACATCTGCTCTAATTGCAAGTTTGGGAAGATCCTTCAACATTGACTTTTCCATCATGACACTTAGCTTAGAGTAGCTAACGTGACTCAGTCTCATATGCCATAAGTCTGCAGTCTCGTTCTTCCTCGTCTTGTCTACATACGCGGTTTCTACCGACATCACGTAGACGGAATTCAATCTCTGTCCCTTTAACACTGGCTCTTTTGTAATCTCCAGGTCATGAAATATCATTACATCTTGGACCAAACAGAACAAAAAGGCCCGACGATGTTAATTGTGCTACCGAAAGAAGATTTTTCCTCATACCTGGGATGTGATAAATATTTTGAAGCAACATCGGGTCAGCACTATTCTTTGGAGACACTACAGTCTTACCGACGTGAGCTATCGGTAATTTTGTGTCGTCGGTTGTCACCACCTCACGATCCCTCTTGTACTCGGACAAATTTTGCAGCTTCTCTTTATCACCAGACATATGATTTGAGCATCCTGAGTCAACGATCCAGTCATTCTCATAATCAATATGTCTTGAGGTTTTTGCTGTGAGAGCTAACTCCTCTTCTTCTTCAGCATCCCAGTTATTTGTTACTGTAAGAGCTAACTCCTCTTCTTCTGCAGCAAAGCAAGCTTCTGCATCCCAGTCATCTTCACTTCTTTCCTTTGTATTGGAAGTAGCAGCATTACTCTCCACAGACCTTTTCTTAGACCAGCAGACATTAGCTTTATGGCCCTTATTTCTACAGTTGTTGCATTTCCCTTCAAACCTTTTGTTGTTGCCATGATTCTTTGGAGCTCCCCCTAGATGATAACTCCATTCTCCTTGATGAGCTTTTGTCTTGTCGTCATTTCTTTTGGATCCACAAACATTGTGCTGCTTGAAGTTCCCTCTGCTTTTATTGGTGTAGAGCGCTTCCTCCTCACCCTTCTATGGAACTCTCATTTGCTTACCCATGGCTTCTTGACCAGCAAGCAAATTCTCAAACTCAACAAGTAATGGTTGATTTGGCCATCCTTGTATGGTAGTAATAAAGCCTCTGAATTCAGATCTCAAACCATGGATGATTATTCTTTTCATCCTGGTTTCGCCAATTGGAGTTGTTGGATCCAATTCTGAAATTTCACGGCATATCGACTTCACCTTGTGAAAGTATTGCGCAATGCTCATATCACGTTGCGCTATCGAAAATAACTCACTTTCTAAAAGTTGTAGTCGTGTGTCATTCTTCTTTGAAAAGAGTGCAGCTAGCGTGTCCCAAGCTTCCTTTGGTGTTGTATCATCTCGTATATGTTCCAGCACATCTTCTTCAATGGTGGTTTTGAGGGCAAACAACGCTTTGCCTGCTTTAATCTTCTATTTTTGCAGTGCACCATTAGGTTCTTCTGCCCCCGGTTTGACTTCGCTTCCATTAACGAACTCCCAGAGATTTTGGCCTTCCATGTAGGAAATCATACATGTCATCCATATTTTGTAATTTTGATGGTTGAGTTTTTTAATTCCACCTACGGAGGCTTGAAGCTCAGTCATCCTTCTGTGAGACAATAACTTTTGCTCAAGAAAAAGAAAGTTGTCACCAACAACTTATATGGTCAAAAGTGTGTGTGACTTTACCAAAACACTCTTCCTCTCTTCTATAGCCTAGCCCTGATACCATATATGTTGAATAAAACAAAGATACAAGGAAATAATTTTAGGATAAACGGAAGACTTCTCTGTATTGAGCAAAAGAACAGAACTTCTATTTTATTAAAGAAGAAGAACACTCAATAAACTAGAGGAAAGTTGGAAAAAAAGGATACATTGAAAGCGACTGGACTGGTGCCTTTTATAGGCATACACTGTAACAACTTTTCCACATCTTGCTGCAATCCACAACAGTCACCAGAAAATAAGTAAAACATTATAGACTCGGTAAAACAAAACTACCAACATCTATCCTACTAAACTAGTAAGTCAAAGTAAATACTAATGGGTAAAAGCTGGTGTTGCTATTTTAACACACCCCTAGTTACCGGAGAAGTTGGACGTGGATACCTTCGTTAGGGAGCTATGCGGGAGGATTCCGGCTACTGGCTGACCCAACCATCGGGTTGATAATCCGAAACAGAAGTTGTGGGTGCAGATAACGCATTTCCAACAATGTGCATCGCTATTGGTCATAGCTAGTTAGCTTGTTAATTGGTCCAGTGTACGTGTCACGGATTGCATGTCGAATTTACCGGCTTAATGGATAAATGCAATATTTATAGATTATTTAGCTTTGTTACAAGGGGAATACATAATCACTTGATTTCATCCTGCAAAATTAAAACCGAAGCAAGTTGAACTTTTTTGAAGATTCAACTCTAATTTGGTAACTGGTAACCAAGGAAGACTCCGTCTCAAGGAAACTTAGCCTTCGGATTTGACAGACTATTGACGCTCCTAAGATATCCATATTTCTGCCCTTAACTCTTAAAGATATCATTTTTTCAATCTTCAAAGTTGAGCTTGAATTTCGCATGAGATTGGAGTTGGAAACGTCTAGGCCACTCCTCTCTACAGGGACAAACCAAAAATTTAGCGTTTAGACAATACCTGAGAAGTGTCGCTTGAGAAAAAAAATCTAAAAACAAAGCAAGTTCGGTAATTGATCTTAAAAGTTATAATGGGCATCCAAGACCATCAAAAGCATCTCTGAAGATTGGCTACCCTCTACTGGAAAACAAAAAATCTAGAGTAAGACAATACTTTGGGACTTGTTTTTTCTTTTTTGGACAAATCTGCAAACAGAAAGCCAATGGGGGTTGAGAGTTGAGACAAGAAAAAAAAAAAAACCAACTCAATATTATATGATCTCTTTTATTCTTTGAAAGCTTTCTATAAAAATACCTTAGAAGCACACAAACTTTGCTCGCGCAAAACTAAACTTACAAAATTCACTCCCGGTGGACCAGTATAGTCCCAAAAATGACTCATAATTTATCCATTTCCAGGCACAGATGAAAAACAATAATAAACGGATGGGTTCTACAGGGATCCTGTTAAGTAAAAACAGTGCGGTCTCTAAATAGAAGACTGACTTGCATCACAATATAAGACTCCCGTTTTTTTTTTTTAAGTTTCAATCAAAGATGCATGCCACAAAGATTAACTTTATTGTGATGCATGCCACCTCCTTAAGGTTAACTTTAAGGGAGAAAAACAAGGACCTCTGAGAAGGTATGAGAAAAAGAAATAAGTAGAGAACATACATAACAAAGATTAGGAGAGATACTTTTTACGTCCCACTGCAGTCTACAAATTTTTACTATAAGGTAAATCCTAAGCTGCACAACCCATTAAAGGTTGCGGTCACAATCAAATGAAAAAGAAAAGGCAGAACAGGATATACGAAGCAAACAGCAGTTGGAGCATATGCTAGTTGGTTCCAATATCTGCTGAAACCTCAATAGCTAATAAGTGTTTCCTTACATATGTTCCTTTTCATCAGTCATGAATTCGTGCCAAGTGGTCTCAATATGCAGAGACCGTGATTCCACCATATAAAAGTTTTCCAACAGCTGCCACACTCTCTAAAGTTTAAGCGATACATGCAATAAATCCATTACATTAATATTTAATACACAGCAAGCATTTATCCAGAAAGGAGCGGCGGTAAATCACCGCTTCAAGTTCTTGACCTCCGAATGGGAGACCTGCTGAAATTATGAAGGAAAAATGGGAACATGAGCTCTAACTATTACAAAAATTTATAGAGCCTAGCTAGCTTAAATAGTAGAAAAATAAAAATTTTGTCAGACACAAATCTACCTGTGATACCTTCCATACTCAGGACTCCTATATCGATCATATGACAGACCATTATATTTGTCGAAGGCAGGGCTATGAGAACGGCCATAATCAGGGCTAGGTCGACTCCTTTGATACATTGGGCTTGGTGACCTTCGATATGGACTATCCCCATGCCTGCCATAATCTCTTCTAGGGCTGCCATACCTGTCCCCCCTCTTGTCATCATCCCTCAAAGCATACTCTACAGAAACCACTCTGTTCAGGATCTTACTGCAAATGCAATAATCATTTCTTGTCAGGAGACAAGAAACAATAGCACAACATGGATGTGAAATTACAATGTAAGCAAATACAAACAAAATGCACTGACAACCTCATGTGTGTACTCTCCAAGGCTTTTGTGGCATCTTCCTGATTTTCAAACTGCACAAATGCAAAAGTCCGCCGTATGCGAACATTAAGGACCTCTCCGTACAGTTCAAAATGTCTTTCTATGTCACGCAACCTAGTGCGATTAGGGTCAAATTTAATGACAAACAGATTTTTTGTAGGTCTTTGGTTTGCTGCAACCTTGGAGCCATCATGAGGTCTACCGCATTCACCCTGTCGAAACAAAGTTATAAAAGCATAGTTCTTTACATAGACTGTTGATTATAATATCAATCATGTTGCCTCTTGGAGAAGGTAATTCTAATGGGATGGCAGTTGCCACATTTGGGAAAGAAGAGTGCAATGAAATACCTTAGCCCATTCCACTGATAACCAACGTTTGTCATACCCAAATGGTATGTCGTCAAGATCACGGATGGCATCTGCGGCATCACGCTCATCCTCAAAGTAGACAAACGCAAACCATGTAGTTGTAAAGACTCCATTATAAGGCCAAAGAAAAGCATGACAAGAAAGTCTGAAAATCTCATAAGCAGAGTGTACATCAGTTAAATCAAAGTTATAATCCCCTTTAGGAATTAAATAAAGTACAACATCTGCAAGTATGTGAAGGCCTGATGAAAGTAAGGAGGTAGAGAGGCCTTGCATGAACTAAATCATGATGATGATGAAGGCTAATTAAATGTTTAAATCCAAGATGTCAAGTCTGAGTCATTGCTAAGCATGCTTCACCAATTCACAGCACGATTCGGAATAAGGAGGCATGGCATGATAAGAATTCATTGATCCGCTTATCACTAGTGGTAGGCATGGCATGAAGAACAGACAAATCCCATCATAACCATTCTTGAAAAATGGCAACATGGGCAGTGAAGTAGGTGAATGACGGAAGATCAGTCAAAGAAATGCAGAACAATTCCATCATTGAGAAGGAGAGCAGGAAGACAGATAGGTGGCCTAGCAATAGAAGTTTTTGCAAGTGTCGAGCCATGATAGAAGCTCTTTTTCCTTGGGAGACATTCCTGCGCCAAAACAAACACATAAAATGGAGATCTTCTCCAAATGAATTTCACATTTGGCTCCCCGCCATGTCCTACCATGTCATGTGCACACATACATAGCTAAAACAAACTAGCTAAGTAGCAAAGCAATATATTTAACCAACAAAATCACCATCATAGTATCCAAAACGGAAAAAAAGCCAGTAGTCATAAGCTGAGAAGAGAAAATCAACATGATATTATTGATATAAAAATATTAATCAACAAACCCGACAGCGCTCATCCCAAACTAATTGGGGTCAGCTACGTGTGGGAAACAGAAAAATCATCATAATTAGACTATTTTTACAGGTCTGGACCAACCCACTCCTTTGCCGCGATTTGAAGAGGCTACGTGTAGCTAAAAGAGCAAACCTTAATAGCTCCGTGAAGATCAGCACTGACAAAAATTTAAAAACACACCTACTGACAGTAAAGAATTATGTAATTCGAACAACTGAAGATACAACCACCTACTGGGTTTTAACTTGCAATATAATTCCACGAATAAAGCCATTAGGATCTTTTTTTCTTTCCAATATATCTGTGTCTATCATCTTTGTTATTCATTTCAGCATCAAGAATGCATAGTACAATAATAAAACTAACTAAACCAACAGAAAATACGAAAGAGAAAACAAAAGGGATACCATTTTTCATGTCAACACGCTCGATCCTTCCATACTTGGAGAACAATCGTTCCAGTTCTGATTGACGTGTACCATACCCAAAGTTCCCCACGAATATAGGCCTCATATTCGACTCCTTGCTATTCTTTACCTGAAACACATCATTAACAACGCCATCAAATGATTACAAGTACACTTCTCTACTGCTTAACTACATGCCAATTGCAAACTATATGAATTCTATGTAGCAATTAGGGGAATATAAAAGATTTACCAGAAAAACCCTAGAACCCAATGAAAGCATTTGTCTTGTAAGTTCTAAAAGGGAACAGGAAAAGCTCAAATAGGTACTTTTGCTCCGAATATTACCTGATTTGGGCCCGTTTCTAATCTGCTTCGTTTGCAATACCATACGGAAGTACAATTAGATACATGTTTACTCTTTGCTCGGTGCATAATAAATTTTTACTTGTCGGACAAAAATACTCCTAGACATGGGTACTGTATAAATTAAGAACATGATATGAATGCTGTGTAAATATTAAGGATAAAGTGTCTTGTATTTGTATTTTCTGTTGTTAAATTTTAGGACACCAAGTCCTTAACTTTATATGTGCAGGGTAAATGTTAAGGACATGGCGTTCTTAATTTCATGTGTGCAGTATAAATGTTAAGGACATAATGTCCTTAACTTGTATTTGCACCTTCTGTTGTTAAACTTTAGGATCTCATGGCCTTAACTTTATATGTTCGGTGTAAATATCAAGGAGATGATGTCCTTAACTTCATATGCGTGGTGTAAATGTTAAGGATATAGTGTCCTTAACTTTATAAGTGTAGTGTAAATATTAAGGACACCATGTCCTTAACTTTATGAATACCGTATAAATATTATGGACAAAGTATCATTTATTTGTATCTTCTGTTGTTAAATTTTAGGACATCATGTCCTTAATTTCATATGTGCAGTGTAAATGTTAAGGACATGGCGTCCTTAACTTCATGTGTGCAGTGTATATTAAGGACATAATGTCCTTAACTTGTATTTTCACCTTCTATTATTGAACTTTAAGATCTCGTGGCCTTAACTTCATATGTGCGGTGTAAATATTAAGGATATAGTGTCCTTAACTTTATGAGTGTTGTGTAAATATTAAGGACATGGTGTCCTTAACTTCATAAATGTTGTGTAAATATTAAGGACAAAATGTCATGTATTTGCACCTTCCGTTGTTAAAATTTAGGACATCATGTCCTTAACTTCATATGTGGAGTATAAATGTTAAGGACATCATGTCCTTAATATTTACACAACATTCATGAAGAAAGGGTAACAACGTCTTTTTATATTAATTTTAATAGAGTAATAGCTATTTTTACTCAGCATTTAAAATATTGGATAAAAACTAAATATTATGTTAAAAAGTGGCTATCCCAAGCCATATCTACAATGGGGGTCAAAGCCCAGTTCATTGTGATGGTGTTTTTTCGGGCTGGCTGGATGAGGCCCAGATTCCTTTTTGTTTTGAAGTATTGATTTAGTTTAAGCAGTTGGATGAGCAGCTATTTGGGTTAATTTTTCTTTAAAAAATTAATTATTGCATTCTGAATTTAAGTTTTCGAGTTTCATATTTGTCATAAATTGTCCTGAAATTAAGATTTTTAGTTTAAAATTTTAGGACAAAATAAATGTGAGCTAACCTCTAAATAATATCTATGAGAATGACTATTTGTGCACTTGCCCCGATTTTCTGTGTGTTTAATTTTTTACTTCGTTTAAATAATTTTTGCAAAAATAGCTATGGGTCAGAATTTGGCCACATGTCACGCGTTTTGATCGATGGGAAACTTCCTTGCTTGCACAAGTCCAATTTTTTGTGTCATAACTTCGGGACGAACACGCGCCCTAGTGAGAAACCCTCTTGCCTTGCCTCGTCAAGCGTTTTCTTGCCCCCGTCTTATTCAATTGTCATTTTTTTATTTTTAAATTCTGATGTACATATTATGAAATTGACTAATTTTGCTAGTAATTTTTTCGGACAATTAGTTTATCATAGGAATACCATTTAAAGCTTGGACAAATTTTAACAGTCTTGCTTAAGGCTGTCCAACGGGACGGGCCGTCCCGTCCCGTTTCACTTAATTCTAAATGGGATGGGCCCATGTTAAACGGGACGGGATGGCCATTTCGTCCTGTTTGTCCCGTCCCGTTTTGTCTCGTCCCGTCCCGCCTGTCCCGTCTGTCTCGTCCCGTACTGTCC